TTTTACAGCCCCAATCTCCTTAGCCATGGCCAAGCCCTGCGGATAGATGATAGGAGTCAGCTTCTTCTCCTTCAGCTTCTCCATCGTGTCTTTATCATCCCTAAGATCAAGTTTTGTTCCCACAAGGATAATGGGAGTGTTGGGACAATGGTGTCGTACTTCGGGATACCACTTTGCATGGACATTTTCAAATGATGCAGTACTCACAAGGGAAAAGTAAATTAAGAACACATCTGTTTGCGGATAGGAGAGGGGGCGTAATGTGTCATAATCTTCTTGTCCAGCTGTATCCCATAAGCCCAGATTCACTGGTTTTCCATCTACCATAACATTGGCAGAATAGTTGTCAAAGACAGTGGGGATATATTCTCCAGGAAAGGCATTGGTTGTATAACTGATCAGTAGGCAAGTTTTACCTACAGCTCTAGCACATTAGTTCTGCCCATCAGATTAAGGAATTCCTCGAGCTGGGCATGGCAGTGCATATCTGTAATCCAGGCACTTGGGAGCCTGAGGAAGGATGATCATTAAAAGTTCTTGGCACCCAGTAGAGGGCATCCGGGGATAGCGCACCAGTCACTTCCACATCTCACAGTGATTATTAACTTCAAGTGAAAGCAGAAAACAATATAGGAAAATATTTGAATTACCTTAGGTTATTTACATAAAACACAGAAAGTACTAAGTACAAAAGAGTTAAAATTTGACAATAAAATTACGAATTTTAATTTAAAAAAAAATTCCACTAGCTGGAAAGCAAGTCACAGAAGGAGCACAAATGTACAACACATAATTCACAAGAAAGAAAATAGAAACAATTCGTATCTAGATTAAAGAACTATTGACCAAGAAAAACAAAAATCAAAGATAGTCAGTCTGGGGGGGGGGATGACCTGAGCAGGCACAAGAGAGGAAATCTGAGTAGGCAAACTTACCAAAAGATGCCCATTATTAACAGTAACCCAGAAAATGCAAACTAAATAAGAATGGAACCACTGCACCCTCCTCAGATGGAAAAATAAGGATAACAATACCAAATCAGGGTCAGTGTATGGAGCAGCAGAAAGAGCCTCTCATATACTACTTCTGGGAATAAAAGCTGGTGAACTACTTGAGAACAGAGTTAGGAGCGCACTTTCCTTCCCAGGTAAACGAGAAACCATACCATTAATGCTGTGACCATTAATCATGGCTGCCAAGTCGGTTGCAATAAGCAACCCTCACAGATTAGTAAAGCAAGGTCCTGGGTGTGTCCAGGGGGTGTTCAACCGGCACCTAGGCCAGCAAACTGAGGAGGGAAGACCCGCTTGCGGGTGCCACCATACAAAAGGCTTTTAGCCTGGATGGAATGAAAGAGGGACGAAGTCAGCCTGCATTTGAAACTGTCCACCTTGGCCCTGTTTTCTGTATTGATTAGCTTTTTATTCCTGTGACCAAAACTCTTGACACACAATTTAAAAGGAGTAGATGCCACTTTGGCTCATCGTTTTGGATGGCTCAGCCCCTGGCCAGCTGGCCCCAAGGCAGAAGTATCATGGTGGAGAGGCTTAGTGGATGACTACCGTTCACTTCATGTGCAGGAAACCAGAAGAGATCTGAAAGACTGTCAGAAGGAAGGGTCAAGGCCAGGGCCAGACCCAAAGCCACACCTGCACAACCCACCCAGACACACCATGAAGTGTGCTTCACTACACCCCTAGATAGTTCCCAAGCCAATGAAGTTGAAATAAAAGTACAGTTCAAGAATATATCAGCGTTGCCCATAACCACCAAAAATGAGAGCCAATCCTATATCTACTTACAATGTAACTTCATATATTCAAATGAAGGAATACTAACATGCTGATATGAAACAACAAACAAGCATGTGAAGTACAACAGAATACAGCAAATGCTTAAATTTGAAAAATTATTATAATAAAAGACATTGCCATTAATCTCTCCTTCAAAATACTACCCATCACTTTTTTCTTTCTTTGATGCTGGGAATCGAACTCACAACCTCACACTTGCCAGGCAAGCGCTTGCCACTGAGCTGTACGCCTGGCCCCGCCCCATTACTTTCAACACCCTTACTGCAGCACTCTTGCCACTTTCTGAAGCAGTTCTGGAAGTCCCCTTCATGAGTGTCTCTAGTTGCACTGTCAAGGTTGCCCCACTGTTCTAAACCAACTGGGGCACTCTACCACCCAGCCACATTCTCAGTCCCTGAGCCAATTTAAAATATTTCATTTTAACAGTCATGTGGCTTTTGGGGAAGAGCCAGAAATTGCATCTGTGAATTGTACCTGGTGAATAAAGTAAATGAGGACTGTATTTGTTAGGGCTCTTTAAAGAAACCGAATCAACAGAAAATATATGTAAAAGTATGCAAGAGGATTTATTAAGTAGGCTTACAGGATTAGAGGCACAATGGCCATCCCCAAGATCAGAGAGAGAGGAGTCTGCCGTGGCCATCTATGGGATCCGAGGCAGAAGAAACCATGACCGGCATCTATACTTAGGAGCACCAGAGGACCCAGCAACTGCTCAACATAAGAAACCGGAAGCTGCAGGACAAGGGGAATCGAGGATGCAGCACCAGCCCAAGGTCAAAGGCCTGGAAGGTCACTGCAGAGTCATCGGTGAAAGGATACACCGAAGGCTGAAGAAATGAGTCCAATGTCCACAGGCGACGATGAAGACTAGAGTTCTTCAGAAAAGGGCACATTTCCTTCTTCTTTCTCTTTCTATTCCACCCAGACTACAAGCCTACTGGCCAGTGCCAACCCCCCCATGGAGAGCCTGTGCCCCTTAGTCTGCTAGCCTACACACCAGTCAACTACTAGAACTGTGCTTTGCTAATCTGTGAGGCATTTCTGAATCCACTGAACTTGAAATAGCGTGCTCAATGGTCACAAGGACGTACTATGTTTCTGTGAACCTGCCTTGCCACTGGATGCCATTTAGCAGCAACGTTCATGGTATATACATCTTATACTAACACTCACAAATGAAGACTTGCAGAACTGCTTCGGAAGTGACAAAAATGATGCGATAAGCAAGTTGGAACTCGGGGAGTGTTGTAAAGGCCATTAATAGCAGTATGTCTTTTACTGTAATATATTTTAAAATGTGGGCTTTTGCAGTATATTTTGATCACACCATGTAAAGCACAATATTTAGGGTTCTTAAGAAAATAATGCTGAGGAAAAGCAACAAGACAGAAAAGAACAAAAATATTATTCTGTACAGAATAAAAAATCAGGCAAAAACCCCTGTATTTGTAGGGATAACTACATACGCAGTGAAATGTAAAGAGCGAGAAAGTGATTCATACACAGGGTAGTAGTTAGCTGTAGGAAGGAAAAAGGGCTATGACTGAGAAAAGAGGAAGCAACGTTCTTGACTTACAGAGCACTTGTCTGGGTGATGCCTTTTAAATTAGCCAGGATGCCATACATTTGTAGTTTACAGTCTTGTGCGTAAAGAGCATGGGCAGAAGGAGCCTCTCTGAGAATGCTAACCAGGCATTCATCGTCCCGCAGAGCTGCTGCATAAGAAGTACTTAATATTAGAATGCTCCATTGGCTGCACTACTGTAGGTGGTGATATGCAGATTGGGAATGCTTTAAGAGAGTCTCTAGCACTGGATCTTATGTGAGTAAATGGTAGAAAGTAGTAAAATGTTAGCAGTGGTAGTAAAAAAGTAGTAAGAAATTTCTGCGGGAAGTTGAAGTTGCTATTTCTTAGGGTCAACCTCAGCTCTTGCTTATGGTAGCCATAAATGTTCTCAAGGGCAAAAGAGTTTTCTTTTCTTTTTT